CCTGGAGGCGTGGGTCGTGAAGGTGATGAGTTTGTACAAGGTGGGCGAAAATGTGCTCTCCTTGCATGCGCTGCTGATGCTGACTCACATTTCTTGATAGCACCTCTTCTACGGCATTGATATGGCGGAATTCGATGATTCATAAATTATGATGTGGCTTCCGCGCACTTGTGTATCGCTTTAACATGGTATTGTATAGCTGTCTTTTGACCTCCAGTGCGTTCGCGTGGGGAAACTTGTACGATTGAGCAGATGCTAGGGTGATCCCTAATACCACATCCTCTGCCATGTTGACAATGATGCGAACTAAATCGATATCGGCAGAGATGTGTGCCATGTTTTAGTGTCTTCTAACAAGCTCTGTATGTCTAGAATCTGAACAGTTCCCGACAGCTAACTCTATTCAGGCTATGGAAATTGAATCCCGTTCGTAGTCACGTACGGCGCTGCTCGAACATGCAGATATAAGCAATTCGTTGACCAAGAATGTAGTGCGCCATGTGCACAAATCAAATGATACCTTTTTTGAACGGTGCGTCGATTCTATATGAGTGCAGTATGCTTCCTGACTACGCTTCTCCACGTTGGGTCATTAAAGCTCCGCACACTTGCGTTTGCACAAATACTAGCTGTTCTGGGTGACCCTCAAGTTATCCTCTCTTCCCGTCCGCCATCATGCCCTTACAAGCAGACGGAACCGCCATTGTACATCCCACCTTGCCCAAATCCCTGCTCCAAAAATTGCGAGCAGACCCGCGAACGCTAGCCGATAACTCTATCATCTTCACAGAACAGTTCGCACCATATCGCATAGCTGTTCTAGGCCATGGCACTTCGCCCGAGGTCGCAGTTGTGGATCCCGCCGATTCTCGGACTGTCGAGACTTTGGGTATTGACCCTGTGGCATTTTCTCGCGTAGCAACCATGTTGGATCGCACGTTCAGTGCAGATGATAAGAAAACATGGCTCCATTGGGCCGCTACTCGTGCCGATCTCCACCTTGCGTACGAGGCCATCCGTTTGGGGGTTGGAGTTAACTATCGGGATCAGGCTGGATCTACTCCCCTTTCCACCGTTTGTACACAGATTGCACATAACGTAGCTCTCATCGGAAGGTTACCGCCAGAAGACTTTATTCTCTATTCGACTCCTGCATTATCTATGCCGAATTTCTTATGGCGCCTCACGCGTATTGCAATCCTTCTGATCGAGCAACGTGCTGATGTCCAGGCCTGCAACTCCGGCGGTGAAACTCCCCTCGTACTAGCTTGCAGGGCGAAGAATTTTGACCTCATCGAGTGTCTCTTGCAGCACGGCGCCGATCCATCCATCTTGACATCCTCTCAGCTGAAGCAGAACTTCCCTGACTCTTCAGACTTACGGAAATACCATGTTCTGGTTCGTACCAAGGCCTCTTCTAAACGACCTCCTCAGCCCTGTCCATGCTGGTCCGGAAAGTTGCTTGCAGATTGTCATGCTGCCGGACCGCAACCATATCCTTCTTACTATCTGTGCAGATGCGGAACAAATAAAACATATGCAAAATGCTGCGCCAAACGAAGCATCAATATCACGGAGGAGTGGCAGGCCTCTGAGCAATATCTCTTATCCAGAACCTCGATACGGACCTCCGGGTTTAGTATCGACCCAGATCTCCTTGATACATTCAGCGATTTTGTCGATTTTATGAAAAAATCGACGGACCAGGACCGTGCACTCGACGCGGAGTTGGGGCTGGCTTGCCTTCGACAGAAGATGAACATACTCAATGACCTAATACGTACCGGGCGCGGCAGTCCCGCGTTTTTGTTTGCCGCTCGAGACCTTCAATTTATCGCATTGTACGAATGGTCTTCCAAGCGCGTTTTAACTGGCTGATAGTATTACAGGCCGTTTGGAGATACCTCTCCGCGGGCGAGGCGTCAAGATCTTATGGATACTTGGAATGCTGCAGTTGATAAATACATTGCCTCCACGAGTGCTGGTGCAAAACGAGTGGAGATTGAGAGAGAAGCCAAGGTCGGCGTTGACGGAGGGCCTCTTTTCAAGTACTGCCAAGGCGTTGGCTGCGGTCAAGTTGAGGATGTAGCTGGAGTCAAGCTCAAATGCTGTGGCCAGTGCAGACGAGTAAGTCGTGGAATCTCGTACCGTGTTTAGAGACACTGTATCACTGATCGATCGGCGTGCATTTAGACGTTCTACTGCAGCGCTACCTGCCAGGTTGCCGCCTGGTCAACACACAAGTATTCATGCAAAAGCGAGCATGGATTACTTTCCGACCATCAAATGTTGCCGACGCAGAAGCTGTATATCGAGGAGATGAGACGCGTATCGGGGGAATGCATGCGCAGAATCAGGGAGATGGGCGATTTCAATGAGGCACTGAAGGGATCGCTTATGGACGCAGGCGGGGTCATCCTATTGATGCGTAATACGCTGGATACTTGGAGAGTCCGTCCTGGGGACCGGACTGATCACGAGTCGCGCACTTTTCCTCGCGGGTATTTTGAGTGGGTCAACACGGAAGGGTAGATTTTGCGTTCTCTGTCTGGTGCGCTCTGTCCGCCAATCGGTTATAATCACTGGGGACTGTCTCCCTGCTAGATCCTGTGTTTTACTCCCCTCGTGTGATTGTACTAACCTTTGTTGCCATACATAAATGATTGTCGTGATGAATTGTCCACGCATTCAGCCCGCATTCGGGATGTTTCGTTCTAGAAACACTTCGTCGCTGTACCTCAGCTGGATCGTTCGACCAGGTATTCTCGGGTTGTGGCGTAATGAATTACTTGCTGCATCGACGCGTGCTCGGGAAAAGACTTCGATATTCTACAAATACTTTGCAATGTGTGCACACATTGCATGAAGCTTGTTGTGGATAGTCGTCGTTCCTTTAACCCTATACATATACTGCTATGTGCGCGCGACTACCTAGTTGTCCTTACTATTAGCTTTCGCTCCTCATCATCTCACCACGAAAGGACCCGCTGAAAACGGGCCTTTTGTCGCACACCCTACTCTCCCAAAAACTCTACTCCGCAGACCATGCACGTAGACACAACGCTGACGTTTCGGTCATTTTTACTGGAGCATTAGAAGCGCATCGCGTAAGTAGGGAAGTTCAAAGTTGACGCAGCTGGGCTCGCAGAAAGTTCTG